CCACCAGAATCCCCAAGGAGACTGCACTATCGTCCGTGGAGACATCCTTGGGATTGTTCTCGCCCTCAGTGTGGTGATTGACGATGTCATGCTCTTGCCCGTCGGAAACATCGTCTGTGGACCACGGGGAGCCACTAGCCTGTGGAGCGGCAGTGGAGACAGAGGGCGTGGTCGATGAGGAGGATAATTTCGCGTCGTTGGCGTGAAGCGCTTGAGGTAAGGCTCTGGCAGAGTTTGCCTTGGCGACTTTATGCAACGGGGAAATATGGGCAGTACCCTTTGTCCCCTCTGCCTTCTCCGCGGGGCCGCTGCTTTGTTACTTAGCAAGGCAAGTATTTGTACGAAGCGAGACGACAAACCTGCCCATCCGCCAGCGAGGTGGTCGCAGCGACTCTGAATCTTCGATTTCTTCCGCCTCTGATCGCTCATCGGAGGTATAGCTGTATAGAAGAAGGTCGATAGAGAGACTCCGAGAAACCCAACAGTACGCACTGTTCGTCATCCGAGCTGGAAGGGTTATCATCATCGATGGTCATCAACGCATACTTTTTCGCTCGCAGGAGTTTGAACGGATGTATACAACTTTCGGGCATTCTGAGACAGGAGGAGATTACGAGTGAGACGTGCCACGGGCGGCCTGCGGCAGAGTGAAGAAGAGAAAGAATGGGGAGTCGATGTGGTAGGAGACAGCGCGAACTTGAATCCCCCGTGCAGATTCCCATCACATGATCGCGTCCTGCGCCTTTGTTCTTTATGGACGCGCTTGGACCACGCCACCGCGCGCGACGCGACGTCTCTGATCCCTTACCCGTGATCCCAGCCTTCTAGAGGGACCAGCTATCTGCGCACCTCTGACCATTGAAGACATCGATCCGTTGCTGTGGCATTGAATATTCTGCACAGGTCACGGTTTCGGTAGTTCGTGGACTGTTCACTGCAAGGCACCCAAGATTGAGCCCTTGATTCTGTCTGCGCCGTCGCTATCAAAGGGCAAAGACGCTTGGCACGAAGCATTTTATTGTCTTGTAGCGTCTTGCATCGACGACAAGTTGCTGCTCGCGGCGTCGGGTTTAACGCGTGACTTCCATGTCTTTGAACCCTTCGCTCGCCTGGCAACCTCGGTAAAACGGCGGTAGGTGCCTCTGTCTCTGGATACGACAGTAGGATGAGCGGCGCGAGTCGAGCACTATGTCTCCGTGGACATTAAAACATCGAGCCCCTCCCACTGATTGGGGTCGGTTCACGTTAGCATGGATCCGCAAGATATTCGGTTAACCGTGCACGCACCGTTGGAAGGTTAGAATCAAAGTTCATTATTGACGAGATTAACCAATATACCCTCGGGTACCCACAATGTGTCCCTGGGGGAGAATCGTGCTTGCCTTCTGATCATGGTAGTCGTGACCTGAGGCTCGCACAATTCCCGCTCAGGGACAGGAATGGAATATCAAAAGCTTGCTGTAAATGACACGATACCCGCGGCTCATATGCAGAGGTGAAAACGTGATGGAACCAGCAGGACGCGAGCGGGTGAGTACGGGATCACTTGGCCGGAGGTTATCTAAGGATGTCATAGACATCGTCCTCACCGTTTTGTTACAGGCGTCCGCATGTTCTTGCATCAAGACGTAGCCGGCGAAAAGACGTCCACGTATCCCAGAAGTGCAACGTACTGGAGATTGCCATCTCTCAGCGTTTTACAGAGAACTTCTCTCGGCCAGACACAGACAAGAGGGCGCCTTGCATGGACAAGACAACATACTGTGTGGCGATCCGAGTCACTCTGAACACCACTAGTAGGCATTTGTTCTGATGGAGAAACGCTAGTCTGCTGATCCCTGCGGCAAGCAAATGAAATCTTGACGCGAGAGCTCGATGCTTGGGCACAGAGCCTCCGGCAGTTGATGCCAACCAGCCGAGACGCTAGAAGTGTCGCTGTTTCCAGCCGTCGTGGACGCGCTTCGACTGAATCCAGAAATCGCCGAGATGACTCACAGTGCTGCTGGACGCGAGGATGTGTGCCCCATCCCCTATGTCTCACCCACATATGGGAGCCAGGGTACTCATGTTATCCAGATCCAGACTCTTCCGAACCACTGGGCGATAGAGGTGCTCCAGCCCGACTGGCAGTGGGGCAAGCGCCGACTCGTCATGCTCTCCATCCACAACCTGCACCACCAGATGCGCCTGCAGCCGCAGACGCTGCAGCTGGCGTGCGCGCTGCTCGACCGTCCTCTATCCCTCAAGCGCACCAGCCCCGAGGACTTTCCCGTAGGAGATTGATGCTTACCGACGTATATGGTCGTCCGAAATGCTGGGCTAGTTCTCAGGGTGCGGTGGGTCTTAGTGGCACTGGAGGATGTGTGGACGCAATAACTGTCAGCTGCATCCAAGCTCTCGGCACGACAGCTGCGTTCTGCAAATTCAAGCTCTCGCAAGGATTAGAACTCTAACCCTGGTATGTATATCACGTGATCGGCATTCCAACGGCGCAGCTGTACGCGTAACGGCGCAATTTGAATGCGCTGTGCATTGCCCAGCCTGCCTTTCGCCTTCTATGCACATAGTGCTTTGAACGTATCGCACGAATCATATTCGGCAAAGCTTGCAGTATTTCATTTCTGTCTAGCTGCGTCAAGATGCACCAATGCCTACGAATATCCGAAATCTTCAGAATTGTAATAAAATCTGTATCGGAAGACCGTGCCAACCGACGAAAGAACTTGCTCTCCCTAGCTCAAACTTGCAGGACTTTCCACAGCCTTGCAATTGATGAGCTGTGGAAGAGTCTGGAAAACTTTGTCCAATTGCTCAAGTGTCTGCCGGATGACTTGTGGCATATCGACGAGGACGGCGTCATCGTGAGTAGAGCTACACGACTGTTCGCGATATTTGTGTGCAGGATTTGTACTTAGCTATTACTTCCAGTCCTTTTGCCGCCCCATACTTCCAACCGATTGGGATCGCTTTCGATATTATGCAATACGCGTCCAAACGCTGAAGGTGGGGGCCGATATAGCGGTGGAGGCGCTCCGTGACATCGCCGTATACAGCCGTCCGCATCATGGTTACCTTCTTCCGAACGTACGAGTTGTCTCATTCTCAGTCAAAAAGGTCGATTTTGCAGCGTATCTACCGCTATTCCTCAACCCGAATCTACGTTCATTTGGATTGCATGACCGCGGATGTGATACACCCCTAGTTCTCTCCAGATTTGGGGACCTTTTGGGGTCCTTGACACCTAAGCTTGAGAAAATCACACTCACAATGCCGTTACGGAAGAGCATCGACTGCATCCCCGGAACGCTCACTTCATCTGCCTCACAACTGCAACACTTGATGAAATTTTCTTGGCGCCTCCCACTGTTGCTTACGGATCTTATGTGTCTCGGGTCGCTTCCACATCTCAATCACATTTCAATGGTTGTGCCTGACAACATTACGGACGACTCGGCCAGTCTCCCTGAACCTTTAATGTTTCCAGCCTTACGCATCTTAGAACTGCGCGGACGGACGTTTCCGCCTTGCACAAGGCTTCTTAAGATCCTCGGCAAGCGATCTTTTCAGTCGGTACTGCTGCATGCATTTGAGGCTTCAGACTATCAAGAGGGGCAAGACATTAGAGCAGCACTAGAATGTATCCGACAAAATAGCTCCGATGCAGACGTATTCAGGAGTCTGACACTGCGAACCAGTGGAGGGCTCACACGGAAGGAATACATCATTCCCATCACCCTTCTTATTGAGAACTTGTCCGTCTTCCGGAATATCAGCGAGTTCATTCTGGACACGTATGCTGATGTAGACGGAGATGATGACGATCTCCCAGAGCTTGCGCGGATGTGGCCCCTCATCCAGACACTCAAGCTTGGCGCCTGGCCCTGGGCCGAGCATACGAGCTTCACCATTCGCGGGCTGTCGGCCTTTGCACGATATTGCCCTTTCCTGGAATCGCTTACCATTGCCTTCGACGGCGAACTCGAAGACGAGTACGCGGACCAAGACGATGCCCGGGAAGACCTCGGGATGGGCGAGCATCTCACCTACCTTATGGTGGCGAACTCGCCTATCCTTCATCCCTTACCTGTTGCCAGACTGCTGTGTCGTATGTTTCCATACTTGGCAAGGGTGGAGGGGGACGATTGGAGGGGACATCTTGTCGGTGAGGAGGCGCCGTGGGATACGGTAGACAAGTATGTCTTTCAACACAGACAGTGTAGAGAGAATGAGGATGAGGAGGAAAATGTGGCATGGACGGCAGGTGACATAATGGCGTCAATGACATTGGGACAACAGCTCATGGCGGAAGTGGCGAGGGTGAGGACGAGGACGAGTAACTAGTGGAGGAGGCATAAGATAATCTGGTACCTTGCGGTGGAGTTGCAGTTTCGCGACCTCGACGAGGGTCCGTGCTGAGGTAGACGTATTTTGATTGATACATGAGATTATTTCCTGTAGATGGTGCTTGAAAAGTCAACGGATTCAATCAATCCCTCTTCCGCGCATTAAGTTGCATAATAACGTGCCATTCCTCGCATGTCTGCAGCCGTTCCTCAATCCGAACCTCCGGTCACTCGAGTTCAACGACTGTGGGTGCAAGTCCCTACCGACGCTCTCTGGCCTTGGTGATCTCTTGAGTCTTGCGACACCGGAACTGAATAATCTTGTGCTTGAGATGCCATCCGTGAAGAGAATGAAGACAAGATATCTATATCGCAGAGGGGCTCTTTTTTCCTCTCCCTCGCCGCTGCAGCAGCTGAAGACCTTTGCCTGGGACCTCCCCCTCACCCCTGCTGATGTGATACATCTCGCTATGCTTCCGCAACTCGTCGACATCTGCCTAGACTTACCAGCGAACATTCTAGACGTTCAAACTCTGGGAGCTACTTGGTCCGGGTGCTCCGCATTTCCAGCGTTGCGCCTGTTAGACGTCCGGGGACAGACATTCTCGCACTGCACAATGTTTCTTCGCTTCCTCGGGAAGCATTCATTGCGGGCGGTAATACTCCATGCCTATAATACTTCCGGAGATCAAGAACCGAATGAGATTGCAGAGGCACTGAAGACTCTCTGTGAAAATAGCTGTGATCCATGCTTACTCGAGTCTCTGGCAGTACGGGGCCAGCGTCATAGCCCTCTGCGCGACGCGCTGGACTACGTATTGCCCTTCAACACGATTCGGAACCTATTCGTCTTTCGGAACATGGAATATCTGCTCTTGGACATCCCTACTACTGTGGACGGCGATAATGGTGACCTGGACGAGCTCGCTCAGGCGTGGCCCCACCTCTTCGAGCTCCAGCTCGGCGACTATCCCGATGCCAATGACACGAGATTCACTCTGCGCGGACTTACGAGCCTCGCACGATATTGTCCTTCCCTGAGCTCACTGACCGTTGCGATTAATGCCGACCTTGATCACGACAACGCTGATCAAGACGGTACTTGGGAGGACCTTGGGATCGGGGAGGACCACCTGGAGTTGGCTGCCTCTAGCCTCCGTCGTGCTCTACCTGTGGCGAGGCTACTTTGTCGCATGTTCCCCAATCTGAGATCCGTGACTGGGGGTGGCAACCGGGCCGCACGGGAGGTGTTAGAGAAGTACATCTCCGAGCATTGGAAGATGCGAGAGGAGGAAGAGGAGGCCGATGAGGCTGCGTGAATGGAGTAAATGGCCAGTGACCACCGGTGTGGAATGGAGGCCCAGCGTGCATTTGGTTCATCTCCCTACCAATGGCGAGGTTGCATGTTTCCTAGTCTGGAAACTGTGGAAGGGGATGACTGAAGGACAGTCAGTGGCGAGCAACAGTGGTTTGTGTTACAGGAGTATGTCTCTCAGCAAGCCTCTCGTAGAAAAGATGGGACAGAACTGGTGGTGTTGATGGGCTCAATTTCCTTGGACAACTAACATTGTAATCAGTAATATGGCCATCGAACTGCAGATATATTGGAAGATTTATCCATACAGAACCAACGGAACGTAGTCATATCTGCATATCAATACACTTCGCAAACCTATCACGGAGAAACTGCCAGTATTCGATGGTGGAGCGTCGCAGTGGCGATACCTTTACATTGCCTTCTTGGCGCATGGTCCCAGCGAGAGGTAAGAATCTCAATGCAAGTGATAGGAAGCTCTTTAACGCTGCGTCGTCATTGAACTTGCGCCTCGTCGAGTAAACTCGGACCTATGATACACATACATTATCGTGAAAGCAGGAGCGGAAGGTTCGGCCGTTATCATCTGGACCGCGCCGGAAAACGAGCCGGGCTGGAGTCAGTTGGTGTGCATTCTGTTCCGACGGTGCATTTCGCCCAGTCATTATGATGCGTCTCAAGAGGGATGGCGAACGAGTGTATAAGCAGAAGCGGGATACCAGACAGAATGATAGACCATGCGCGTGAGTGGACGTACCTCTGATACCAGGGACGCACATAAATACCTAAGTGAGGCGACTACGCCTCGGATCATGCGTCTGAGCGCAGACAACGTTCGAGCAGATAGAGTGGTGGGTTGTCTAACGAAATGCGAGCTTCTCACTCTTGATCATGTAACCGGGCATGCAGTAATTTAGCTGCAGTATGAAGTTCAAGTCATGAGACTCAAGAGCTAGAAGGGCTATCATCGTCGATGGCCATTAACGCATACTTTTTCGCTCGCAGGAGTTTGAACGGATGGATACAACTTTCGGGCATTCTGAGACAGGAGGAGATTACGAGTGAGACGTGCCACGGGCGGCCTGCGGCAGAGTGAAGAAGAGAAAGAATGGGGAGTCGATGTGGCAGGAGACAGCGCGAACTTGAACCCCCCGTGCAGATTCCCATCACATGATCGCGTCCTGCGCCTTTGTTCTTTATGGACGCGCTTGGACCACGCCACCGCGCGCGACGCGACCTCTCTGATCCCTTAGCCGTTATCCCACCCTTCTAGAGAGACGTCTCAGCTATCTGCGCACCTCTGGGCATTGAAGAAATCGATCTCTCGTTGTGACATTGAATATTCTGCCACTCGCAGCGAAGGTCACGGTTTCGGTAGTTCGTGGACTGTTCCCTCCAGGGCACCCAAGATCGAGCCCCTTGATTCTGCGCCGTCACTATCAAAGGGCAAAGACACTTGGTACGAGGCATTTTGTTGTCTGGCGGCGTTTTGAATCGACGGTAAGTTGCTGCTCACGACGTCGGGTTTAACGCGTGACTTCCATGTCTTCGTACCCTTCGCTCGCCTGGCAACCTCGGTGAAACGGTGGTAGGTGCCTCTGCCTCCGTCTACGACAGTAGGACCAGCGGCGCGAGTCGAGTACTATGTCTCCGTGGACATAAAAACATCGAGCCCCTCCCACTGATTGGGGTCGGTTCACGTTAGCATGGATCCGCAAGATGTTCGGTTAACCGTGCACGCACCGTTCGACCGTTACAATCAAAGTTCATGATTGACGAGATTGACTAATATACCCTCGGGTACCCGCTATGTGTCCCTGGGGGAGAATCGTGCTTGTCTTATGATCATGGTATTCGTGACCTGAGGCATCGCACAATTCCCGCTCAGGGACAGGAATGGACTATCAAAATGCAGAGGTCAAAGCGTGATGAACCAGCAGGACGCGAGCGAGTGAGTACGGAATCACTTTGCCTGAGATTATCTAAGGATTTTTACAGGCATCCGCATGTTCTTAAGTCAAGACGTAGCCGACGAAAAGACGTCCACGAATCCCAGAAGTGCAACGTACTGGTGATTGCCATCCTTCGGCGTGTTACTCTCTCGGGCAGACACAGACAAGAGGGCGCCTTCCATGGACAAGACAACATACCGTGCGGCGATCCGAGTCACTCTGAACACCCCTAGTAGGCATTTGTTCTGATGGAGAGACGCTAGTCTGCTAATCCCTGCGGCAAGCAGATGAAATCTTGACGCGAGAGCTCGATGCTTGGGCACAGAGCCTCCGGCAGTTGATGCCAACCAGCCGAGACGCTAGAAGTGTCGCTGTTTCCAGTCGTCGTGGACGCCGTTCGACTAAATCCAGAAATCGAGACGACTCACAGTGCTGCTGGACGCGAGGATGTGCGCCTATTCTCTACCCTCTGAGCAGGGGTATTGGCCCCGAACTGTTACCAAGTCCACCAGGAAGGCATTGATGCGCAGCGTGAGGCGGACGGGTGGCTCGGGCAAAGCAGTAAAAATTGTATCCCCCTTGCTTTGATGGAAACATGGACGTGGTGCGTATGCTGAGATAGCTGAAATAAGTAGCTCACCAGAGTTTTGAGTCGTATTCGCACGAAGCATCGCAGTGACGCAGTTGTCGACAATTGCAAGGATGTGGCGGTCGCGACCAAATAACGTCAAACAAGACTTTGCGCGAAAGATTCAAAGAACGCCGACCTTGCCACTGTATCTTTTCAACGCTCGTCGGAAGATCTCTGTTTTTCTTTGGAAGACAGACTCGGAGAATGTTATCCTTGAGGTTGTAGAGAACGATGTAGGCCGGATTTGCCATTCTCCTCTGCACGGACAATGTACTGTCTCGTGTACGCAGCGACTTGAAACTTCATATACCATTACGGGTAACGAACTCTGCCACCAAGCGAACCTGGTACGCATCATCTGGGTATGATAGCTTGGTCACAGCCCCCTCACACCTTGTCGAGCTTCCATGGTTCACGGTCGCTGTATAAGTGATCTGAAGCCTATAGACATCGAGTTCCCACACGTTCCGGGAACACGCCACATGAGGTATGAGCCATGAAACCTTCACTGAGAAACATCAGGCGCACCAATAATACTGCGTGCTGTCGTTACTCCAGTCGAAATCGTCGGATTCACTATGGTAAGTCCACGCTCTCGCATATCCACTCACGCCCTCTCGCTCCTTCCAAAGCGGCTTCTGTCTCAACAGTTACCAGCTCCAATCAGGAGTCACGATGTTTCCAGATACTTCTGCAGTGATGCCTAGCAGCGGCTCCCTAGTTCTAACCGCATGTTTTCCTGTCATATTCTAGCTTACGCATCTGACGCAAGGTTCGACTGGTAAAACACACCACCTTTTACTTCGGCTGCTCAAAACTGTGATGAAGAACGTCGCGCGCAAGGAGAGAGAGATGGATATGCCATTGAGGAGGAGCTCATGGGTACTGTCACATGCTCTGTGGCGATTGCGACCACATAGCTGCACTTGGCGCATGGACTTGGACTTAGACTGCCAGGCTCTAGTGCCAGACGTCCTTCAGCCTTATAACACAAGATGGCACAGAGGTGAAAGATTTTGCGCACCATCGCTCAACACAATCACAATTCAGAAAGTACAATATCTCCAACTAACCTGATGGTTTCCCGGTCGTTGTCCCGGTCGTTGTCATAATCCATAAATGTTCTTCCTTGCCTATGAAAAGCGTTCACGACTTGCTGATTGTAAATGAACTGTTGGATGCAAATTTGAATACATTTATAAGGAACGACTATGAAGCTTGAAGCAAAGATAGTACTATGTCTATGCAAGTTCACACCTTCCCGTCCTGGCAGATCTAGAAGTGCTCTAGTGCACATACTAGGAGGCCGAATTCATCCACTTTTCACCTTCTTCATCCTCTTCTGACCCACTATCGAGGACCGAGGGGCTGGGCACTGACTCCCTCATCCACGCATCCCACTCCGCCTCCTCTCTGCAGTTACTGAATTCGATGACATACTCCTCCAGCGGCCCCCACTGTGCTGGATCACCTTCCCAGAACACATCGCTCAGCTTAGGGAACATGCGACAGAGTATCCTTGCTACGGGTAAGGGGAAAATGAGGCTGGAGCGTGCTAGTGTAAGGTCGACCAGCTCCTCCCCCGTCCCCAGGTCCTCCCAAGTACCGTCTTGATCTGCTTTTTCATCCTCAAGCTCTGCATTGATGGAAATAGTGAGCCAGCGAATGGAGGCGCAATGGCGAGCAAAGCTCGATAGTCCTCGTAGAGTGAAGCTGGTATGCTGCGCTGTTGGGCGTGAGCCGAGCTGGACTTTCTCGATGTGAGGCAATGCCTGAGCAAGTTCTTCCAGGTTATCGTCGTCGCCGTTGACGGTAACAGGCACGTCCAAGGCCAGCTGTTTCATGTTGTGAAAGATAAGTAAGTTCTTCCGGAGCACATCGAAGGGCAGGGCATAGTCTTCCGCCTCGTCCAGGAGGTCATCGCACGACACTGTCAGACTCTCAAGTACGTGTGGATCACCGCTGTTTCGCCGGAGAGACTTCAAGACCTCTGCAACATTGTCCAAGTCTTGCTCGTCCGGGATTTCATCGGCACATAGAACCAGTCGCTCCAGGGTATGTTTGCCAAGGAAGTTCAGGAATATTTTACCGTGCAGTAACGACTGCGCTCTCAGCTCCAGGCAGCGTAGAGCAGGAAACAGCGCGTTTCCATGGACACTGGTCTGGAGGAGCTGAACGTCGGCAATATTATCTGGCAAGAATATCGAAACATGCGTGAGCTGCGGAAGTGCGGCAAGATGTATAACATCCGTAAGGTCGAATGGAATGTCCCAGGAAATCGTCTTCAGATGCTGCGGCAGGGAGGAAAATGAAGTGAGTGCTCCCGTGCTACGTCTGATATCGATGTTCTCCACAGATGGTGGCATTCTTAGCGCAAGGTTGGCCAGCAAAGGTGCTACATCACCCAAGACGTCGCCAAGTCCAGAGAAGTCCGGTACCAGGTTCCATCCCCCGTCATTGATCTCCAGCGAACGAAGGTTAGGATTCAGGAAGATTATCAAATGTACCAAGGATTCCACATGCTTGACAGAGAAAGAGAGGGTCCGGAGATTTGGGAGAAGACCGTGATCAGGCCCGAGAGGGCCGTACATAGCTAAATTTTCGAGAGCCTCCGGAGCCACATCACTTCCAACCGTCAAGGACTGGACGCTCGGCGCGTAGTGTTGGAAGCGCACCCAGTCTGTCGGAACCAGGGGGCGGCAGAACGACTAAGGCAGACAAACAGTGAGAATCATGCACACTCCAGTTGTAAAGGGGCACAGGGACGGACTCACCATCAGGTTAGTCACAGGATTGAAGTGCCACAGGTCGCTCGGCAAACACTTAAGCAACGGCACGAAGCTATCCTGACGTTTCCAAAGCGCGGCGACTGCTACTCCGTGGATGGTTTTGCATGTGAGAGTCAGAGAAAGCAAATCCCGGCGTATGATTGGATTGTCGCCTTCCCATGGAACAATGATACGGCCTTCAGATATAAATTTCACAATCAAGCAGAGGATTTCGGAGATTTGAAGGCATTGATGCATGTCGAAGCAGGTGGGGTGCTATTGTAATAGTGCAGAGCAAATGAGTATGTTGGGGAGCGAGGGATATGAGTTGATGCGGTCCGCAGGATGTTCGAGTTTCTTAAGTACCCGGAGCGTTCCTGGATGCCACCGTGCCTGCCACGCAGTGGGGAGAGCCACTCAACATTTTATCCAAGCGTTGTCAGGCTTCTATCTTTTCATCATGTGCACATGGTTACGGCGTTATTATAGTGCCAGAAACGCTATAGGGCATCAGCGGAAGTGTAACGAGTCGAGCCACAGGTGAACCGCGAGAGTGTGGCAAAACCCACACGCACAATATGCTTTTCTGCCCCCATACCAGGCACCTCCTTAAGTTCCGCCAAAAGATGGTTTGCTTTGATAAGTACCAGTAATGGGGAGAGGGTCGCACATGCCTCGCATCTCAGAAGAAATGGCGGACGACGCAATGCGCCCACGACCTCGAAAGCCTTGCTGAGCGGATGCGAAATTTTGCAGGTGCGTGCGCTTCCGGAGTCCGGACACAGGGTTTCAGTATAAGCAGCATTGCCAATAATTATCATTGTTGGGGCGAATGGGAGTCCAGCAGATACAAAAACGGAAGTGACAAATGTTCCGCTCTACCGGCGCGTAATGGAGTGGTGCAAGCCTCTCTTGTATATACTAGTGATGCGCGCTCGCGCAGAGTTGCTCGCGAAGCGTAACGTGGTGTGGCGCGACACGTCGTCCTGTTATGTGGCACAGCTGGTGCATCACGCACGCCAACCTTGCATTCATATGGCTCAAATTACTGTATTCTGTGCCATGTTTTGTGATAGGTAGGGAAAGTAAATAGGTATCATTGATTCTGGAACCTTTCCAGGCTCAGTCCGAGGATATTTGAAGCTCTGTATAGCAACTTAAAGCTGGCCCTTGTGGGTCCCTCAGCCACCGGGAGTAGAATTTGTACATGTTTGTCGCGGACTTCTGCCCTAGTGAAGAATTGCTCGCTTCGCTCGCAATCAGTCAACGTACACAAGTTGAATAACCCCGCAGGCCTCAATAGGGAGAACCGTCCTCCAGAGCTAGCCCTAATTAGGAACTACAGGGATAATTGTGGGGTAATCGAGCTTTCAAGTCACAAAGCTTTTATTTCTATTGTAATTGACTTAGTAACCTACCTACACATTCTACCAAAATCATGAAGCTCTTTACACACATGGAGGAGGTAAAAAATGACCGAGGTACTCAAGTGCGGACTCGGCGAAATCGCAGAGCACGTGACGATACCGTGGATCGCGCTTGATGGGATCAGAGGAAATTACAATGTCGCTCATTGCTTTTCGCCACCATGTCTCCAGCGTCGTCGACAGCGCCAGCGGCAGAGTTTACTTAATTTCCCTTAACATGGCGTAATGTGTTGGGCATGCGGGAGGACGGATAGGAGGCGTGTGGCAGCGTGAGCGGGCGTCTGTATACCCGCCGGAGTCGTTTCTCCCGCCCCGCGTCTCCCCTTTGTTGGATCCGTCCTGTTCTGCGCATTGCAGCCCCCTCGCGCACGCGCATCCGTGAGATTCACTCGGGACACCGACACTCCCTCCTTCGTGTGCACGCGGCGGCCGAACAGACGCCCCGCGCGGGTTCCCCCGCTGCTCGTGTATCGTTGCGGAACACGGGAGCTCCTCGCTGGGGCAGTCTCATGGCTGGCTGTAGAGGGAGCGGACGGGCGCGCGCTGGAGGTAGGATGGCCTTCGTCCTGTGTTCCGAGCGAGCGACGCCGGAGTGGGTCGGGACGTCTAGTTGGGATGGCCCCCTTTGTTCACAGTGTTCTGCCAGAAAATGGGATGAAAAGGCGGCTATAACAAGATGTTGCACGAGTCACTCGTGCTTGACGACATTACTGCACACTTACCACATGGACAGGCCCCAGCGTATCCGAGTCGTTAGCTGAAGGAACTCGCTCCAAAATGCCGATGTCCATACCAGCTCCAGATAATGGAAACAAACCCGAGGAGGGCCTGCAGGCAGTTACCGGCCGACCTGCAATTGTTGCAAGTCGAAAATCCATGGCTTCGGCAGAGTGGAGGAAGCGGTTTGACCACCTTTCCAACTTAACGAAACTCTATGTCGCCGGTGCCGACCAAGAGCTCCTTGATGCCCTATCCATCATTCGAGGGCCTTCCACGCGGGGAGGGACTCAGGAAAAAGGAGTGAAGGCACAAGGCGCAAGGGATAAGAGGAGAACGAACAAGGAGGCGGCCGACACTGATACTGGCGAAGCAACCGTCCTCTTCCCTCTGTTACAGCACCTTATTATTGAGGAGGACTGCGATCACCTGTAGACGAGGGACTTCCTCGGAAAGCTAGCAGTCGCACTTAAGTCGAGGAAGGTGAGTGGCCACAACTTATAACGGCTCGATGTATGGGAGTATCAAAGGGACGTCAACGCAGCATGAAAGGGAGCCCGTGAAATTGGCTCCACTTTGCACCCAACAGCAAGTGCGCACGCAAAGGTCAGGAGGGATAATTACGTGCAGTGGACACCAGATTCCGATCCAGAGAGAGACTTCAGTAGAGGTGTGAAGCTGTGAACAGGTAAAACGGTGAAGCATGTTGTACAAATGTTATACAATTGTGACCTAACTGGCTCGATACATCACCCACTACAATGCACCAGTTTCAAGAGGTCCGCGTAGAGCCCCCAGTGGAAGTGGAATCGCTAAAACCCACGAAAATACCGATGATTTGACTCGAGTCCCAACAATCCTTACTTCAGTTGCACTAAGCTGAACCCACTAAGGGACGTACATCTCACACAGAGACTCAGAGTATGCAGAGAGACCTATGAGAGCCGTAAGTGTGAGACAAGCAGGTGAACCAGAGTGGGCGGCGATAAGCAGATGACCCTTGACAACGAGTTATCAGAAGCTCTTTGCGTGGGTTGGATGATCGACCGGAGGGCGCAGTCTTGAACCACAACGCGGGACCCACAAGGAAAAGTAACATCTCCACTATAATCGCCCATACGAAGGTTTTATGTTGTCGGGATATAGCATGCCAGGCGGTATAGTGGAATTGGTACAGTATAGGTCACAGCAGGCGCGTCGCAATGCAAGTCGTGCGGGTATAGATTTTCGCACACTCGACCTTTCCCGATTTCCTCCGCTGCTCGTCGCACTTCTGCATCAAATCCACGAGGAATAGGGCTTTGCATCTCTGCACGACGGCGTTGGGAACTGAGGATCGAAGTGAACCTGACCAGCCGGCTTTCTCTTTGTCTCGCCAGATATCGGAAATGCATCCCAACGCTGCATCGATAGCGACCGTTGGCAATACCCGGGCTGAGTCTTTGTAGTCTGCTTTCCGACAGTCTAAGCAGGGTTCAGCGGACATTACCTAGTCTACCCATTCCAGGAGTGGGTTTAGTATCAGTGGAGGGTAAGGAAGATATCAATAAGATAAAGCAAGCACGGTCACTATACAACACGAGATACCACACAGAGCAGAATACATAGCAAGCCAGAAATTATATAACCACAATCGAAACGCACGCCAAAAAACAACGCCTTCCTCTGAGATATAACGTGCTCAGACCGCCGAGAATACATCGGTAACATCAGGGCTTCTCGGTCTTCATCCTCTTCGCCTTAACAGACGGCACGGCTTGTCCGTTCCTCGGCTCTGCCTTCAAGGGCGATTCATGCCCAACGGTGGAGTTCTCCCTCATGGTTGTACAAGAACTCCCATTGTCTTCCCCAAGATATTTTCTTTTATTTTTGGGTGGGGTAGCGGAAGCCCGACTGAGACTTTGATGATCCTCAGCCTTTACCTTGGACGACCTAGTGACCCTATCGCATCGGCTATACAACAGCATTAGAAGGAGCTTACATTGTACTAGCAGAACCTTGACGTTCGCTCATGCTCTCGAGAGCATCCTTGGCCTTCATTGGCGCCTGGAGATAAGTTGGCTCGTCAATCTTCTATTACATTCCCACAGGAGCAACGTTCGGTCGCTCAACTATGGGGGACTAACGCACCTTGACGTTAGCGTTGGGCGCCGCAGAAGTACCGTCCATCTCTCCCACAGACAGGGCAGAAGAGGGTGCAAGCGGACCATGGGACACGACATCATCGAGAGCGTCCAAGGCGATTTCAGCCGGAGTCATAGCAGCGAGTGAACGATTTTCTGCCGCCACCTCTGAACGATGTGCAGGCGCGCTGACAGGAGCTTCACTGGCAGTACTCTCCTCTGCCGAGCCGCCATTTGTTCCTCTATCATAGGCCTCCGACAGGTCTTCAAGAGGAGTCGTAGACCGGAGGCTCGTGCCTTCCACTTGGGATCTATCCTCGACTCCATCGTCCAGCTCGCCTGAAGCCTCTGCACCCTTTGCCATCGGACTGCCGTGGGGCTCTGCATCTCCCCGAATGCTATAATCGGCGGCGGCGTTCGCTTCTTCGCCATTGGAGATATGGCCGACGGACGACGGGGAGCCACTAGTGACAGCAGTGGAGGTGGACAGTTTGGCGTTGCCGGCTGTAGGTACTTGAGGCGGGGCGGCGGTAGAGTTTACCTTCGCGCTTCCGGTCAAAGGCGGTGTGTTAGCGGCGGCGGCCACGTTGCCATCTTCGCCAGACTGAGGCTGCGACCGGTCCACACGGGCCCTGTTTGATACTTAGCAAGGCATACTTTGTGCGACGCAAGAGAAGACAAACCTGCCCATACGCCAACGCGGCGGGAGCAACGACTGCGGCTCCAAGACATCTTCAGACTCTCCCTGGCCTGTCGAATCACTCTCTGAACCTCCAACCAGGGCTCCTGACACTACTTCAGCTGGAGTGACAGACACCTGAAGGCTGGCACCATCCGCTGTCGAACCAGATTCTACCCCATCCACCAGAATCCCCAAGGAGACTGCACTATCGTCCGTGGAGACATCCTTGGGATTGTTCTCGCCCTCAGTGTGGTGATTGACGATGTCATGCTCTTGCCCGTCGGAAACATCGTCTGTGGACCACGGGGAGCCACTAGCCTGTGGAGCGGCAGTGGAGACAGAGGGCGTGGTCGATGAGGAGGATAATTTCGCGTCGTTGGCGTGAAGCGCTTGAGGTAAGGCTCTGGCAGAGTTTGCCTTGGCGACTTTATGCAACGGGGAAATATGGGCAGTACCCTTTGTCCCCTCTGCCTTCTCCGCGGGGCCGCTGCTTTGTTACTTAGCAAGGCAAGTATTTTTACGAAGCGAGACGACAAACCTGCCCATCCGCCAGCGAGGTGGACGCAGCGACTCTGAATCTTCGATTCTCCGCCTCTGATCGCTCATCGGAGGTATAG